CAAGAAGCAGGCGTCTTTTAATTTCGTGGCTGCTGTCTCCATCTGCAGTGATCATGGAGCCCAAGAAGGTAAAACCTGTCACTACCTCCATATCTTCCCCTTCTATTTGCCAGGAGGTGATGGGACCAGTGACCATGATCTTAGTTATTTTTTTTATGTTGCGCTTCAGACTATTTTTGCCTTCTCTCTTTCAACCTCATTAAGAGGTTCTTTAATACCTCCTCACTTTCTGCCATTAGAGTGGTATCATCTGCATATCTGAGATGGTTTTTCTTCAACCAATCTTAATTCCGGTTTGGGATTCATCCGGTCCAGCCTTTCGCATGATATATTCTGCATATAAATTAAATAAGCAAGGAGACAATATACAGCCTTGTCGTACTCCATTCCCAATTTTGAACCCATCAGTTGTTGCTTCCTGTCCCACACATAGATTTCTCAGGAACTGATACACAGCAAGAAAGATTCCCAGTGTGGTGTGTAGTGGACAGAGTGACTGGAGAAGTGGGTTCGAATCCCAATTTGGCCATGGAAACTCACTAGCGGCGTTGAACTGGTAAAACCACTCCTTAAATATCTCACTTATCTTGAAAGTCCTGTTAGTCACTGGTCACTAATGTAAGTCGGTTTCGACATCTCAATCTCAATCTCAATCTCTCTCTCTCTCTCTCTCTCACACACACACACACACACACACACGGAATGAGGAATTAACCAGGTGCTGTTCCCCTCCTGTGTTCCCCTCCTGTCCTTCCTGGAAGGGAAGGGCGGGGGAGGGGGCCGCTGTTGTATTCCTGCTAAAGACTAAGGTTAAAAGGCCAATGAGTTTGATATAAAAGAGGACGGTGAGAGAGAAACTTTTTTAAGGTTGAGGTCCTACAGATATTTAATTAGGAAGCAGTAGGCTTCTCATTGACTTGCGCGCCACTGGCTTCTGACAGTGACCCTTCCTAGGACTGAACGGCCCATCAGCGACCATGTTTCTGCCTCTCGCGCTTGAGTCCCCGGAGCGTCTCGTACTTAACACGAAACAATGGGCGGCTTCCTCAATCCGAGCCTTTCTCGAGGCGGATTTAGCCCAAGGGAATGGGGGGTCCGGGGAAGAGAGCGAGAGGCCGAGGAAGCCAAGGCGCGCCATCGTGTGTAGCCGGCCTTTCCTTTCCAGCCCCTCCCCGTCGCCCTTTGACTCTCCGAGGCGGGCTGGAGGCGGAGGCTGCCGGAGACACCGCCCGGGCAACGGCGAGAGAGGCGGGACGGACGGAGGGGGAGACGACGTGGTTCAGGCCGGCTTCTTTTCTCTCTCTCTCTTTTTCCCCTTCGCACGGCCGCCAT